AGATGATGGTGACCTTGGTGCAGTGGAGGTCCTCCGGGAAGTTGACTGCGGGTGATGGAGGGCACGAGGTCACCTGAGGGGGACGGACCAAGTGATCCAGCCTGGACCCAGCTTGGACCCCTTGTCCTCTTTGCCCTGGAGCTCACCCCTCCTCTTCCTCTTGGTGGCACCAAGTAGGAGCTCCAAGGTTTCCTGGTGCCCTTACCAGGTCACCTGGACACCTGGGTTCCCTCAGGGGTCAAGGGTGCCTAAGTGGGACCAACGGGACTGGGAGGGAGGCTTTGGGGGAGCCCAGACACCCGGATCCTTGGGGAGTGGACACACATCTAGGGGTTATCAGTGCCCCCCAGATGTCTGGGTCCTCAGGTAACCGGTTTCATACCTTCAGGGCTGGTGGTGGACCCCCAGCCCGAGATCTGGCAGGTCTTGCCGGGCACGGGGCAGTGGGAGGCCAGCGGCAGCGGCTTCACCTGCTTGTTGACGTGGATGGGCAAGAAGAACTTGATGAGCATCAGGTCGCCGTCCTTGTTGGTCTCATTGTAGCGTGGGTATTTGAAGACCTTGGCCGAGCGCCGCCACTGCTCGGTGCCACCTGAGTCCTTGTGGCTCGGGCCCCCCAGCCGCACGCTGATGAAGCTGATGAAGCCAAAGACATCAGGGTTGGTGGGGGGTCTGTGTATGTGGGGTCTGTGTTGGACACGGGGCCAGGGGGACCTACACAAAGTCAAGAGCCATGGTCCCAGAAGGTGGTGATAAGGGCAGAAGAAGCAAAAGCAGAAAAGGGCAGAGTTAAGGTTATGGCTTCCCCAAAAAAGGCAGAGTTTAGGTTATACGCAGGCAGAAAAGGGGCAGAGTGAAGCCCACTGAGATGCCATCAACCCTCCCAGCCTGCTTGGCTGGAAAGGACCCCAAGTGCCACCTGGGACCAAGTCCTGACTGGCCTCAGCCCATGGACACCAAAGCCACCACAGGCACCACTGTCCCCACGGCGTCCTACCCTGGGACGTGGCAGTGGGCGGCCGTCACCACCCAGTTCCTGTCCACCAGTGTCCCCCCGCAGATGAACTTCTCGCCTTTGAAGAGGGCAGCCTGCCAGGGCAGGTCGCAGGAGGTCCCCTCGATCACCCACAGGACGTTCCTCGAGGCTGTGGGGACAAAGGGACAGGACACAGGGGAGACGGGTGGTCTGGAACCGTCTCTGATGTCACCCACCGCAGGGACACAGGTAGGCTGGGACCCTCTGGTGTGACATGGCCACCCCTGGTGGCCCCATCCCCGTGTCCCCTGAGTCCTGGACAAGGAGATTTATCAGTGGTGGAAGAGGCCAATCCACCTTGGGAGAGACCAGGAGGTCCATGGGGTGGACAGGGGCCACCTCGGAGAGTGGGGGTCCCTGGGATGAATGGGGGGTGGTCCCGTGGGTGGACATGGGGCCTCTGGGGCAGACATGAGGGTGTCACAGGTGAACGTGGGTCCCGTGGGGGGGGTGGGCGTGATGTGGGGCACCCATGTCAGACGCAGAGGGTCGCATGGATGGACGTGGGGTCTCAGGCATGGTTGGGGAGCACCCAAGGTGGATGTGGGGCAGTCCCATGGGTAGATGTGGGGTGCCTGGGGAGGTTGGGGGACACCCATGACAGGCAAGGACCCCCAGGGTGGACCTGGTGGTCCCACAGATGGATGTGGGGATCCCACAGGTGGACATAGGTGTCCCTGAGTCAGACATGGGGCACCTAGGGCAGATGTGGGGCCCCTGGGGAGGACACAGGGGTCCCATGGGTAGATGTGGGGCATCCAAGGTAGGACGTGGGGGTAAGGGAGGTAGACATGGGTCATTCAGGGTGGACGTGGAGGTCATGTAGGTGGACATGGGGCATCCAAGGTGGATGTGGGGGGTCCCACGGGTGGCAAGAAGACCTCTGGGCAAGACCTGAAACCCCCTGGAGTAGACATGGGGGTCCCACAGCTGGAGGTGGGGCATCCAAGATGGACATGAGGATCCCACGGGTGGACATGGGTCCTGCAAGGTGGACATGGGGGTCCTGTGCAGGACATGGGTCATCCAAGGTGGGCATGGGGCTCCCTGTGGGAGGACATGGGGCAATCAAGGTGGGTGTGGGGGGTCCACAGGTGGAAATGGGACCTCCAGGGTGGACACAGGACCCTCCAGGGGGTCCCAGGGGTGGACATGGGGGGGGTCCCACGGGTGGACACGGGGGTCCCAGGGCCTCTCCTACCTGTCGCTACCCGCGCCAGGAGCATCACGAACAGGACCTTCATGCCGGAGGGCCGGGAGCTGTGGGGAGATGGCGAGGGGGTGACTCTGGCCCTGGGTGACCCACGGCGAGGTGGGGGTCAGGGTGGGGATCGGGGTGGGGACACGGGGCGTCAGGAGGTAAGCGAGGACAGGGAGGAAGGAGGGAAGGGAGGACGGGAAAGGGGGAAGGGAAAAGGGGAAGGGCCCTACCTCCCCCTCGGGGCACTCCAGGGACCCCCACCCCATCCCCCAATGGGTGCCACCCAAACCCCCACCCCCCAGGGCCCCATCGTCCTACCGGGGGCTGGCGTGGGGCCGCGCGGCCACGGGGAGGCTCCACCCGAGCTGGTGAAGTGCCACGGCCACGGGCGCGTCTTCCTCCTGCCGCCGCCAAGCCTGGGTTTTTATCTGGGGCCGGAGGAGGAAACGGCTTCCTCCGCCTTCTCCTCTAATCCGGCCACGGTTCCGGCATCTTCCGCTCGGCTCCAGGAAGCCCGTGTCACGGGGTGGCCCCGCTGGGTAGGGGGGCCCGGGCTGGGATGAAGGTGACTCACGAGGGCGCCGGGGTGGTGGGATCAAGCCTGAGACGTGGCTCCTTGGTGGATACCAGAACCTGGGGCTGGATGAAGATGGTTGAGAGGACACCAAGGGCGTGTCTCCAGCGGGGTCAACCCCAAAACCTGGCTCCTCACCAGAAACGGGAGCTGTGGTTGGACAGCTGAGAGGACACCAGGACACATCTCCAGTGGGGTCAACCTCAAAACGTGGCTCCTCGTTGGGTCCAAGACCTGGGGTTGCGTGAGGACAGTAGAAGGGAGAACTGGGACACAGCTAGGATGGGATCGAACCCCGTTGGATGCAGAAACCAAAGATGGATGAGGATGGTCGGGAGGGCACCGCGATGTGGCTCTGATGTGGTTGCACCCCAAAACATGGCTCTTTGTTGGGTGTGGGAACCCACAGTTAGATGAGGACAGTCAAGAGGACATCAGGACACATCTCTGGTGTGGCCAACCCCAAAATGGAGTTCCCAGGTCACTGCAAGACCCAGGGTTGGATGAGGATGGTTGAGGGGGCACCAGGACACATCTTGGATGGGGATGGACCACAAAACGTGTCTCCTCACTGGGTCTAAGACCCTGGGTTGGATGAGGATGGTTCAGGGGCCCCAGGACATGCCTGAAGGGGTTGGACTCCAAAACGTGGCTCCCTGATGAATGCAGGACCTGGGGATGGTGGTCAAGAGGCCACCAGGACCTGCCTGCAGTGGGAGTCAACCCCAGAATGTGGCTCCTCATTGGGTGCAGGACCAGGGTTGCCCAAGAGGTGCTGGGACGTGTCTCTGATGAGGGTCAACGTTGAACCGTGGCTCCTCGCTGGATGCAGAACGTGGGGTTGGCCAAGAGGTGCCGGGACGTGTCTCTGATGAGGGTCAACCCCAGAACGTGGCTCCTCGCTGGAAGCAGAACACGAGGTTGGCCAAGGACTGTTGAGAAGCACCAAGACGTGGCCTTTCTCCTTCTGTCCATTCTTGCCTTCGTTCCTGGCCACCTCTGACCTCTCTGGGCAAACCCCGTGGACATCCCCAGCCCATCACCCGCTCCCCCACGGTCCCAAAGTGGGGGGTGGGATGGGGGTAGGGATGGTGGCCCCACACCGGGCGTCGTGGCGATCATCACCCCCCTTGGTCCCTCCAGAAGAAGAGGAGATACGCCCACATCTCCTCCTCTTCCTCCACACCACCACAGGGGCCTCCCAGTTCCTCCCAGTTCCTCCCAGTTCCAACCCCAGAGGACCCTGTAGAACCACCTCGGGGGCAGGGAGACACTGCTGGAGCGAGTCCTTCCAGTTCTCTGGAAATCCCAGTTTAACCCTGCTCGTCACTGGGCTGGACTGGGCTGGGCTGGGCTGACTCAGCCCCTCCTGCATAGTCTTGACTTGCC